TGCTCCTAGGTGAAAACGCTGACAAAATACAGCAGAGTCTTCTGAACACCATGAGATGCAATCTACGAATGTTTGCCATGCGAATCGCTCCCGCCAAATGTAAGATAATGTTACAGGACTGGACTACACTGACTCCTAGTTTAGCCAAATTGGAAAAAAAAAAAAAAAAACATAAAATAAATAAATAAATAGGGAGTGAAGTGGTAGAGCACGTTGACCGCTTCTCTGATTTGGGAAGTACCATCGACCGGTGTCAACGGGTTGATGTCTGACGAAATCCCAGCATGGATACAGCAGGCTCATTTCGCATATGCCAATTTACGCCGTCTCTGGCTTAGTAGACGTGATATACGGCTGACTGGCTATCGACAAAAGGGCGTGTATACTGCTCATCAGTCCTCTCCATCCTCCTTTATGACTGTGAGCCAGACATGGTCATTGAGGGTGGAAGATATGAAAAGGCTGGCTGTCTTTGACCATAGGTGCCTGTGTTCTATCTCCCGTGTAAAGTGGTATAATAAGGTGGCCAATATTGAGGTTAGGTTTCGGTCGAGTGGTAGGTAAGCAGGGAAATCAATAGACGAGGCTGTGAAATTACATCGACTGAGATGGTTAGGACATGTGTTACGCATGCATACCTAGCTATCGCCTTCCTCGAGCGACAGTGTTGACTGACATAGCGTCATTTTGGAAAATAAAACGCCAGTGGTAGTCAAACCAAAACACGACATCATCAGTTAGTTGAATCCAGCCACGTAAGATGGTGTAGACTCCCTGATTGGGTTCCTCAGGACGGTAAAACCCAATGGCTGAAAACAATTGGTGACATGACTCAAAATCGTTCTCAATGGTTACTGTAGGGGCATCCACTCCTTGTGACTTATAATATCCAGTGAAACTATATTGTTCTTCGTTATTTCTATTCCTTTGTCACACTCCTCTGTTTACTGTCTCTATTATGCATTTCTTCTACTTTGTTCTCTTGGTTTGTTTGCTACATGGAGGGAGTGTGGCGACTTGACCTGGTGCATATCGTTGCAAAGTTCTGTTTCGTAATCAGACAGACATTACACACGCTAGACAACTAGAATGGGAAGTGATGCGCATTAGATGTGTATGTTCCCGAGGGTGGTGACATGGAGTAGATTGTGTGTGGATGAAATGAAAGTTTAATAAGCTCATGGAGAAATCTAAAGGCTCATTTCAATTCAAATTGAAGTATGCGCTGAAGATGTCGCCTAGTAGGGCGATGAAAGCTTCGCAAATTAACTATCCAACTCAGTGAACACAACCACATCAAAATCATCCACCTGAGCTACAAATCTCCTCTATCATATCTACTTCTGGCCTTCCTTCATATTTTCTGTGTGTTTCTTTGTGTTCCTTTCACGTCTACCATGTATCTCAGCAAGTTTGAATCATCATTTGCTTTCTCTTACATCATCAAATCTATCTCCCTGCTATTTGATATGTTTTTCATGCCGATGAATATCCCTTGTGCGTCGGTGGCACAATGTTTATAACTCTCACCAACCATGCATATGGTCTGTGGTTCGATTCCCTGCCGACGCACACCTGATGTCAATCGTTGGCCTACAAAATTTGGGCTACTGGTATCCATGCTGAAAATTCCATACTTGTACCAAAAATACAGTGTGGAATCAAGCTGTAATCAAAAATAAATAAATATATACATACTACTGATAAGTCTTAGCAGTAGCTTACTTCACAGTGGGTCCTGCAAGCTATGGTTTTTTATTATGCTCCCGGCTACTGAAGAACGAGAAATTGATATTCAAGTGTTTGGGTTTTGCGAATATTTTGGTTAATTTAAATTGTAACTGATTAAAAAGGTCCATTAAAATTGTTTTCAAAAGAATGGATACTGAATAAAGAGTACCTCTTTTCGATAACCCCTTCATCATCAGGCTACACAGTTATATATACACAGTATGGTGAATGAATGAATGAATTAGTGTTATGAACAACATTAATGTTGCTGTTTAAATAACATCGAATCAATAATATTGATAGGTTATAGCTCAGTAGGTTCAACATGAGATAAGTTGAATGTCAGAAAAATTAGGAAAGATAATATTACAAATTCATGAATTTATAGTCTCCACTGAAGGCCGGCTAGGGCAGAAGTAGGGGCTGGCTGGACTTGCTTCTTTTGAACACAGAGCACTGGTTGTTCGAGGCGGCGAATTGCAATAGCCTCTGCTGTTTGGAGCATGCAGTGCTTCGATGATTTCGGCACTTTATTGCACCGATAGATGATGATAGAGAAGGATTCTTTTACGCTGGCTGGCTTTGTGGCCAGTTTGCGCCAGATGGTCCAGTATCGAACTGTTGATGATGGTTTTCACTACACCTTTACTTAGCCATAGTAGGAGATGTTCTCGAGTGAGCAAGAAAAATCAAGTTCCTAGAGCAAAGGCCAGTATAACTCGATCCACCACAGGAGGTGCAGTTGAATTAGTAGATACAATTTGAAGTGGCTAGCTATTCTAGGTAATATTATCTTTCCTAATTTTTCTGACATTCAACTTATATCAAGTTGAACCTACTGAGCTATAACCTATCAATATTATTGATTCGATGTTATTTAAACAGCAACATTAATGCTGTTCATAACACTAATTCATTCATTCATTCACCATACTGTGTATATATAACTGTGTAGCCTGATGATGAAGGGGTTATCGAAAAGAGGTACTCTTTATTCAGTATCCATTCTTTTGAAAAATTTAAATTTTGTCAAAAAGAAAAGGTTCCTTTTTACACTTTAGTTCTTTCCACACCCCCCCACACACACCACCCCGATGTACCGTCACTACCACCACCTCAATTTCTGTTTTATTATATTCTGTATGTGTAAAGCTTGGGCACTGTGGGAGTAAGTAATTCCATATTAATAACTAATAACCCCAGTAGGATGTATGGTGTAGTTAAAGTTCATAGGTCAGGATACCCTATTAGGCCTATAGTTGATTTTAGAAATTCACCTACTTATGAATTATCTAAATATTTGGCCATGGTATTAAATCCCCTAAAAATCCATTCGAAATCTAGACTAACTAATTCTTATGAACTAAAACACAGATTAGATAATTTAAAATTAAATAATGAAGAAAAAATGGTTAGTTTTGACATTGTCAGTTTATATACATGTATACCGATAATAAATATGGCTATAGAGTCAACCAGAAACGAACTCATTTCTAACCAAGAACTCGAACTGAGGACAAAAGTGCCACTTGAGGACATAGTACTGGGAGAGCCGCCAGCTATGCCTGACTTCTACAGTATTTATATTCCAAGGGAAAATATACAAACAAACTGAGGGAGTTGCCATGGGATCACCAATATCCCCAGTTGTAGCTGATATATTCATGGATAGGTGGGAAAAGATTGCGATTGAAACGTTCACCCCCACCCCAAAAGTATGGTGGAGGTATGTAAATGACACATTCACTGTACTTATAACACAGGATATAGATAAATTTTTCGAACACATCAACTCAAAGGTATAGGCAATTCAATTCACTTATGAATTGGAAAGTCAGGAAGGGGAACTTCCAATGTTAGATTGCAACGCAGAAAGGAAAGAAGATGGGAAGTTAAACACAAGTGTTAACAGAAAACCCACACATTCAAACAGATACTTGGACTTCAGATCATCCCATCCTATGTCAGTAAAAATAGGATTGATAAAATGTTTAACTGACAGAGCACAAAAACTAATTAGTACTAAGGAAAATCTAAGACAAGAAATGATACACATAAAAGAAGCCTTGAAACTTAATAATTACTCGGATAAATTAATCAAGAAATATGTAAGGAAATGTAAAAATAAAATAAATAATGATACTAGCGACAATGATATTAATAATATTAGTGACGACACCAACAATAAGGAATCGAAATCATCAATAGCGATTCCATACAAGGAAGGAACCTCGGAAACCTTACACATTATTCTTAACAAGGCAGGAATAAAAGTGGCTGACATTCCAACCAACCACAAACTCAATTAGAAACAAGCTTTGTCGGTTAAAGTGTCGATCCTGTGGAGCCTTTTAAACAAAACAATTTAGTTTATCTAATACCCTGCCTGCAATGATTGTGAGTGAGATCAAATACATAGGTCAAAGTAGTAGAACAGGGTCAGTCAGTCAGACTAGCCGAGCATGAAAACCTAGCTAAATCTAGATTGATTGACCCAAATAAGATAAGAAATGTAGAGAATAGTTCAGCTATAGTACTCACTACATGCAATTACACACAACCATACAATAGGATGACGATGGGATAGGATGACAGTTTTTTGATCTAATGCAGCAGCATGGTGGAGGCAGAGACTGATAATGGAAGCTTTGTTTACCGAATCAAGTGAGACAGAGTACGTGTAATAGGAATGATTCAACACCTATCCAGTTGGATATCTGGAAAATTCTACTACTCCTACGACGATGAATAGGAGAGAACAAAAAAAACTACAAAACTGAAGTTTCAAATTCAAGTTTCTTTGCCGTGGTAACTGGATAATTTCACCTCTCTTTCATCCGAATGTGAAATGCTAAAAGTTTCCATTGTGTTTGATTATTATTGTTCGGAATAGTGGTTAATATTGCATATTTATATATGTATATATTTTTAGTGTATGAGTATATTGATCGACTGATTTTTGTTTAAACTTAACTCTGTGTGGGCAAGTATGTTAAAATTGTTGTTGTAGATATATTTAATAATGTCTTTGCCATGTAAGCCGCCAGCTGACGAGAAGGCAACGAAATAAACACTGATGGTACCATTTTATTCTGCTAAAACTGTAGTTCTTGCTTTGTTCAAAATCTTGTAATTATATTTGATATGATTATGAACAGTAAATTTTGTATTCGAAACGTCATCCAATAAAAAATACTGTTTCACTGTGTGATACATCTAATAAACAAACTAATATGGAATTCATTATGTTCTATTTTCCCGCCTTTCAGAATAGTAAACAACCAGTGGATAAACCGAAATTTATACTCTGTTTAACATTTGCTGAAAATGGTGACTTGTTAACTGGTGATTCAGCTGGTAATATTATCGCTTGGAAAAGAGGTAAATAGTTGAAAATGTGAACCATATTCTTTTTTTTTTATTTTCTATTATTTGTCTTCTGTTGTTTTCTGTATTTCTGTATTATTCATTAGACTGTGTTATTTTAAGTTGGTTAAATGTCCTCTGTATTGCCATATAGTTTGTGTGTATATGAGCGTTGTAGAACGTGTTAACCACTTCTCTTATTTCGGGGAGTTGCATCAGCCAATTTCGGCGAGTTGATCACTGACGAAATCTCAGAACGGATACAGGAAGCTCACTTGGTTTTTTTTTTTCAAAAAATCACGTCATCTCTGGATTATTAGACATGATATCCGGTTGGCTGGCTGGATGTCGACCAAAGGATGTGTGTACTGCACGGCAGCAATCCGCCGCGTCCTCCTTTATGCCTGTCAATGAGGCACGGCTATTGAAAGTGTAAGGCATGAAAAGCCTGGCTAGTTGTCTTTGATCACAGGTGGCTACGTTCTATCTCCCATGTGTTAAGTGGTATATATAATATGGTGAGCAATACTGACATGGTGACATGGCTCAAAATCGTTGTCAATGGCCAGCGCACATGTATTCAGTCTCTGTAATCTTTCATATTCCTCTCTACCATTACCCATTCTGTTTCACTCTTATACTTGTCAGACTGTATTGATTCTCTTCAGTCATCTTCTTGTCTACCTTTGTGTGCTATTTGTAACGTGGCAACTGGAACTGCTGCACTTCGATGCCAAGTTCTATATTGAATCCAGACAGACAGACAGAACAGTATTGATGTTAGACGTCGGTCGAGTGCCAGGTAAGTAGGTAGGGGAAATCAATCGACGAGGTAGTGAAGTTACATCGACTGGGATGGTTACTAATGCATGCCTAGCCATGGCCTTCCTCCACGGACAATGTTAGCTGACATCGGTTGGAAAAGAGCCAGTGGTGATCAAACGAAAACGTGGCTTCATTAGTCAATGAAATCCACAACAGTTAGCTTCAGCCAGCCATGTAGGAGTGTGTAGACTTCTTGGCTGGTTGGGGTCCTCGGGACGGTAAACACCAATGAAGGCTGGAGACAATTGGGGATACGGCTGAAAATCCTCGTTCTCAATGGCTGGCGCAGATGTATCCACTGCCTATGACTTTTAATATGCAATAAAACGATATTGTTCTTCGCTATTTTTATTATTTTTGCCTCATATCTCTCTTTATTGTCACTATTTTGCATTTCTTTTTACTTTCTTCCCTTTCTTTGTGTGCTACATGGATGGAGTGTGGCGACTCGAAGCGCTGCACATCGGTGCAAAGTTCTATGTCGAAACCAGTCAATCAGTCAGACACACATGATACTAATTGCTGACTAGTGTTCAATCAAAGTATAGCGGCCACATTGCAAAAGTTTTTTCGACAGAATGTAGTCATTACCAACCTTACCATGTCCTTGATACAACACTAATTACTCTTTAGGAACTAATGTATGCATTCAGGTATACCTGACAGGAGATTATGTAACGATATTAATTAAACACTTCTAAAATTAGTATCCTCCTTTCGAGATATGATGAATGTTAATCTTCAGGGTGCATTTTACTTCTGTCTTCGGGTACCTGAAACAACGAGAGGGTTAGTGTTGCGTGGCCGCAGAACCCAGCGGACAACTGCTTGAGGCCGATCACACACGGCCTGTTTGAATTGGTTTCTGGGATTGGTTCCGTGTTGATAAACTTACCGCCAGTTACGGACCACCGTAGGGTAAGTCAGGATGTACAATTTTTGGGGTCGACCTTTTCTAACCCCCTCTCTCCAGAGTGAAGAGAAAGCATAGATGGCTGACATGTTGGTCATCACCTCATGCTGTTACACCCCTGTTTCCCAGCAGTACGACTTCGCCCTCAGACCCCCAGCATAGTGTAATAAAGATTCTTACCGATGTCGTTAACTGCTTTTAGTCTAATCGCTATCGTAACAACCTTCCTGGCATGGTAGGACCTGTAGGAACATTGGTTCTAGCCAGTGCAGCTTGTTGGCTCATGGCGATGTGCAAGCCTGTTATGTACTCGTCGACAAATTATTGTTATGGACTGGTCGAGAAACTAATAGTCCTGACGCAAGAAGGCGGAAATCAGAAGACCACTAGGTTTGCGATGATACTTCTATTTTCCAAACACAAGGAGAATCCAAAAGTGGTATCACACCAAAAAGTAAGTGTAAGTCACACAAGATTGTGTGAGCGAAATATATATGACCATCCAGACAAGTGTGTGAATAAATCAATAGACAGTCTTAACATGAATGGCTAATTATAATGGAGTGTCGATCCAAATATACATAGCAAAATATAGCAGACATGTCAACAACCACCATATATGGATATATGTCACCAAACAACGGACTGTCAACAAACACTCATATTATATATAATATAAGGAGAATATACATTGTTAAAGGAGACAGGTTCATGAAAGTGAAATGGTCACAGACTAAGAGAGCAACAGAAAGAGAGATCACCATATATATATATATATATATATATATATATATATATATGGATACATATCAAAGCCCAACCACCACGTCAAGGTAGCAGCTATCGTTCGTGAATAGATTGTTCAAGTGTTGGTTTGTAGGGATTTGATTGGTTACACGATTTCATTATGAGCTGACATTGATTAACCATTGGAAAACCTGGAAGTACTGGACAGCTGTATCGTCCTAGTTTGGGACTCTTCATTAGTACGCACTCACTAAAGTTCGAACCCAGGACCTTCTGGTTACAAGGCGAGCTCGTATACCATAAAGCCACTGGTCGGTGGAGAGAATTTCAAACTAGGACAACGGAAACAGCTGTCCAATACTCCCATCTGCTGGGGTTTTCAATAGTTCTCTAACTGATGTCAGGTGCTTGACTTTACTTTCAAGCATCAACGTGACTTACTTGAACTAGTTAACTCTCATGATCCCTATAGCATAGATGGCACTGAAATTGAAACCAAGTCAAGCATCATTAAATACCTTGGATTAATTCTTTCCTCTGACCTTTCATGGTCATCCCACATCTTGTCTATCTCTAAGAAAATGTTTCGTCTTACCTTCTACATCAAAAAATGTTAAGACAATCAGGTATGAATCAACCTTTACTTCTGCAGTTTGTTAACTCCTGTATTTTACCTATTGTACTCTATTGCTCTCCATTAATCTTTCCTGGACTTCTAAAAAAAGACTATCATATCATATTATGAAGGGTATTAAATGCTGTGAGTAGGGCTTGTGGTATGCCACTGCATGAGCTCGCTAATATTATAATCGAGAGATATATAAAATCCTGTACAAAATGGGCAAAGACCGTACTGTCAGACCCCCAGCACCCCTTTTATTCACAACTATCCCCTCGCATCTCATCAGGTAGGATGAGAAGTCAATATAAGAAGTTATTTTATGTTCGCACCACTAGAGTACCCTATTTAGCCCGTATTTTATGTGATGAAGACATTGTTGTTAGGCGCAAAACATATAAGTTACTCTATGCAAAGTGAATCGAACCTTTCATTGTTCATCTTTCTGTAATTTTATGGTATCACCTTTTATATCGTTTAATTATAACTTTGCTATTTTATTTTAGTTGTTATTACTATTATTACTACAATTTTATACTTTGTGCATATTTTTCTCCGTATTGCATACAGTAATTTGCTATGTAGCGGCTAGGCACAACGTTTCTTCTTCTTCTTATTATGTTAAGTTTATTTTTATTTTTTTTTGTCGTTTTGAGTAAATTAGATGCAATATTATACTGAATGCTGAAAATTCCTTGCTGTATCATTAGTACTGTTTTTGGAATAAAGCAAAATTATTATTATTATTATCATTATGAAATTCTGCTGCAACTAGTAATGAGTAGTTGAAATGTTTTAAAAAAGTAACTCACTTACTTTCATTTGTATAACCCCTTCTCATGTCTGGTTTTCGTCGGTGAATTCTCCTTTCAGGTACAAATACAATTAGTCAAATATGCCAAGGTGTCCATGAAGGCGGAATATTCTCACTATGCCTTACAAATAATGGACATCTTATCTCAGGTGGTGGTAAAGATCGTCGTTTAGTGTATTTCGATGCAGCACTTAATCCCACTGGTCATACTCAAGAATTACCAGAAATGTATGGTGCTGTAAGAACTATCACTCAAGGACCTGGAGAGTTGTTAATTATTGGTACAACTAAGAATATGATATTACAGGTAAGTCAATATTATACATCTCAATCTATATGTCTGCTTCTATATGATACACACACACACACACAGAGTGGATTCCTGTCGTAATTCCTTATAACTGCCTGTCACCTGATTTTCTTTAATCCGTCTCTACTAGAGTGTTCCTGGTATGGAAGTCAGTTCTCTGGTATTTGGTCATTCTGAAGAATTCTGGGGCTTAGCAAATCATCCACAAGCTCATCAATTTTTGACTGGTGGTCGTGATCATCTCGTAATTCTATGGGATTCTTTATCAAAACAAGCAATTTGGTCAAAAGAATTCACAGATGCTATCCATTGTGCTTCATTCTATCCTCTTCAGTCATTGACAAATGGTACTATGAGTCCTGAGAATGGTATCGATGAAGTGAGCAATTTAGACTTCAATGCATCCATGATGAATTCACATGACTTGCTGGTAGTGTTAGGCACTTGTACAGGTCGTTGGTTAGTATTGAATTGTCTAAAACAAGAAATTATTGCTGCACATTCTGATGGTCTTGGTGAACAAATTGAATGCGTTGCCTATTCCCCTGGTAAGCTTTGTTTGTTCTATTTCAAGCCTACATTGGTAGTTTTGTAGGTGTGTTTTTTGTTTTTGTTTCCAGTGTTATTTATTATTCCCTTAGGACTTCTACGGCACATCTTCATTTCACCTTGTTCTCTGTAGTCTTTTTCAGCTGGTTCTAAATGTGCCCCATAAATTTTCATCTCCTTCTCATACCATGTCACCCTCAATTACCACGCCCAGCTCGTGGCCTTTAGTTCGGCTTTCACTTGATGACTTGGTTAACGAATAATGTTAGTCAACAGTCTTCTCAGTGTATGCGCAATTCACCACCATTTTCTTTGGCCTATTTCATAGGCAATAGGTTCTCAATTAGTTCATTCTGTCTTTGTACTTCTCAGCAGTTCACTCCGTCCTCCTTTACGGCTGTGAGAGGTGGCTTTTGGTCCCAACTTTCTGGAAATATTCTATTTGATTCTGAAATACTTCTTATGGCTGAATTTTGAACTTTGAAAGTCATCTGGACTGTATAGCTGCTTAGCAGTACTGGAACATAGGCATACTTACCGTCGGTGTCCAACAATCGTTATATTTCTTGACCTTAAAGTGGCATTCGATTCTGTCGACCGAGAGATACTATGGCGATGCTTGACTGTGAAGCTAATAACGGCAAAACGCATCGTACTGATCAAGGCACACTCTACTCGAACTCATGCAGTGTGCCAGGTGAGAGTTTACGACAAGTTGTCATATTAGTTGGTGACAACCAGTGGTGTCCGATAGGGACGCCTACTATCCCCATTACTTTTATTAAATTTCATCATAGATGTGCTAATGGACTTAACCCTAAGTGACTTTAGAGACTCAGGGATTGACTTGTTACCAGTGAATAATCTTGTTAACTTGTGAATACCTTTAGCAGCTATCTTCGAATGTTTGGCATGCGATTTGCTCCCACCAAATGTGGGATGATGCTACAGGACTGCACTACATCGACTTGCTCCTTGCTTAAAGATGGGGAGTGAAGTGGTAGAGCGTGTTGACCATTTCACTTATTTAGGAAGTTTCATCAGCAAACGCCAGCGGATTAATCTGTGGCGAAATGTCAGGACGGGTACAGGAGGCTTGTTTGGCAGTCGCCAACTTACGCTATCTCTAGCTTACTAAAGGTGATATTCGGCTGGCTATTGACCTAAAAGTGTGTGTACTGCTAGGCAGTTCGCTCCCTCCTTCATTATGTCTGCGGGATATAGCCATTGAAAGTGGAATACATGAAAATCCTGGCTGACTAGCTGTCTTTGTTCAAAGGTGTCTCCCATGTTAGGTGATAGGTGTAATAGGATGAGTAATATTGAGGTTATGCTTCAGTCGAGGGATGGAAAATCAGTTAACGAGGTTATGAAGTACACTGACTGAGATGGTTAGGACATGTGTTAGACATGCATCCTGAGCCATCGATTGTCTTTCTCAACGGGCAATGTTACCTGACATAAGATTGATGAGTTTGGAAAAGAGCTAGTGGTAGTCGAACCGTAACATTGCTTCGTCAGTCAGTAAAATTCGCAGCAGTTAGTTTAAGCCAGATAACGAGATGTAATTCTCCTGGTTGGGGTCGACGAGGTGATAAGAATCACTGAAGGACTGGAGATAATTGATGATATTGCCCAAAATCATCGTTGTCAATGGCTGGTGTAGATCCATTCACTCTTTGTGCTGACTTGTCATAATCAATAAAATTATATTGTTCTCTCATATTGCTATTCTTTTTCACTCACTCATATTTTTTGAATTGAATTTTTGATTTTCCCGTCGATTGATTGGACCGAAGTGCTCGGTCTCAGGTTGACGTGTCTGTCGGCTTCTTGTGCAGATGCCTCGACGATGTCTTGGCATTTAATTAGTATACAATTGGTGGATGGTGGCTAGCAGTGGAATCCAGGGTGCGCAATTCGGCTGTCCTATTTCCGACTCGTCAACTGGATGTACCTGCATTTCTCAGTGAGTGATGACGTTCCCACTGAGGCTCTAACCCAGTGCCCATAGTTTCAAACGCCAAAGTGTTATCCACTAGACCACTTGGGCCACGAGAGCTGGCCACCTCTTGTGCAACGGGTCATATTAATTATTGAATTGAATTTTTGATTTTCCCGTCGATTGATTGGACCGAAGTGCTCGGTCTCAGGTTGACATGTCTGTCGGCTTCTTGTGCAGATGCCTCGACGATGTCTTGGCATTTAATTAGTATACAATTGGTGGATGGTGGCTAGCAGTGGAATCCAGGATGTGCCCAGACATCGTCGAAGCATCTGCACAAGAAGCCGACAGACATGTCAACCTGAGACCGAGCACTTCGGTCCAAACAATCGACGGGAAAATCAAAAATTCAATTCAGTAATTAATATGACCCGTTGCACAAGAGGTGGCCAGCTCTCGTGGCCCAATTGTTCTAGTGGATAACACTTTGGCGTTTGAAACTATGGGCACTGGGTTCGAGCCTCAGTGGGAACATCATCACTCACTGAGAAATGCAGGTACATCCAGCTGACGAGTCCCAAATAGGACGAAATGCGCGTTATCCTGGATTCCACTGCTAGCCACCATCCACCAATTGTACACTCATATTTCTGTTTAATATATCTCTTTTGAATCACTTTTTACTCTTATCTCTTGCTTTGTTTGGTACATAGAGTATGACAACTCGAATTGCTAGACAACCGTGCAGAGTTTTATGATGAAACAAGTCGGTCAGTCAGAATGTGATATAAATTTACTCTTTAAAGACAATGTGTACAAGTGTATTTTTTCTTCATTCTTAGGAATTCTCTAGCACACATCCTTGAATCATATCTTCCTATATTCTAAATTACTATCTACTCTGAATCGATTTGATTGGTGATTAACGCTGATGAATTATTACTCTTACTTTCAATTCAATTGTACTCAATTTTACATAATTTGTTTTTTAATCTCTTCCGTTTGGAGTTCTTCAAAACTTTGAACTTTCGGTAGTGGTGGTGGTGTTTTTTTTTACGGGGTTGGATTACTAGCCTCACATTGAACCTGCCTTTTTTCCGGGATTATTACGGGTGTTAGTTTAGGCGTGCACCGACTGAGAATTGAATTCGAACCTCTTAGACGGTAGGTAGGTGAACGTTCTAACATTAAGCCACCTTTTACTAATTATTGAATGATTTTTTAAAAACTCTACCTTTAGAAGACAAAGTTATTATATTATATTATTATTACTACTGTTTCCTTTAATTCCCAGAGGAATATAGGGCTTCAGCCGCACGTCTCCATTGCATTCGGCTCTCTGCCAACGTTTTCACTTGGCTCTATGTCTGCCCACACATGGTTCAATCTCCTCTTCACATGACCTCCTCCCTGTCACCCTCGCATTGACGACCAACTCTCCGCTTCCCGTTCGGGTTCCACTTGGGAGCGATGGCCTGATATGTGATGTCACTTGATGGGTTTTTTTCTCAGAGTATGGTCAACCCACCTTCACACAAAGTTACTTTGTTATAAACTGTATTTCTATTAGATGGTTGGAAGCAATCGGCAGGAAGCCCTAGACCTTGGTCTCATGACTGTTGGCATTCGTCGTCGGCAAAGCATACCTGAAATCTTGTACGAACTCATGTCCCTTTCGGGATTTCAGTCTGTGTGTCAGTCAGAGACGTTATAACTGAGCTTCCCGGGCCCGCAATTGACCTCCTGTAGAACTATAATGGATATTTTGATTGAATAGAAGGTAGTAATTGGCTAGTGTCATGAGTCTGGTCATTTGTTTGGTGCAGCCCGACTCTCACTGGAGCACTGGGTAACACAGGTTCGAATGTCAAAGTGAACATCAGTTCCTTTAAGTTTGTAGATATGCCTTGCTGACTGGTGAGTGCCGAAAAGTGTAAAACCTAGATCCGTTCAAGGCTTGCTGTTACCGATTGCTTCCAACCATCTAACATCAACAAATCATAGTGCATCGTGATAGAGAGCCACCTATTGGCGCATGGTGGCCACATTGCAAACTGTACTGGTAGTATTTAGTTTGTAGTAAACAAAGGACTAGACGCACCCATGACACTAGCTATTTACTACCTCATGGCCAATCAAAATTGTAATTCTATCAATCTACGTCAAGTATGCTTCTGTAAACCGAACACCAAGACAAATGTATTTAAACAAAAGGGTGGGCTCTTTATGGTGGCTTGATTTTCTTTAACTGTATAGAAATACTCTTTCATCTCCTTTTTTGCTGATAAAGCTCTCAACCATCTAGGTAGGGAAATCTGAGCTCTCCTTACAATGATGATATTACCAAGTGAAATAATTACGAAGAAATTGAGAAAATCAGTTCAAAGAACTTTTAATGCTGGCAAAACTACACGTCTTATTTTCTGCATGACCGATGTTGATTCCTCGATTGAAAGATGAAATACCTAGACAAGCTAGCCTCTTCCAATTATATCTACCAATTCAACTGCACCTCCTGTGGTGGAGCGAGTTATATCGACCATTGCTCTAAGAACTTGATTTTTCGTCCTCACTCGGGAACATCTTCTAGTATGACTAAGTAAAGGTGCAGTAAAAACCATGATCAACAGTTCGATATTAATTAGACCATCTGGTTCAAACCGGCCGGCCACAAAGCCAGCCAGCCAACCAGCATTGAAGAATCCTTCTCTATTATCATCTACCAGGTACCAAATAAATTTCCAAAAACACATCCAAGTACTTCATACTCTAAATAGCTTAGGCTATCGCGATTCACCTGAAACAACCAGTACCTTTGTGTGCAAAAGAAGCAAGTCCAGCCAGCCACTATTAACGACCTACCTGGTCAGCCTCTAGAAGAGACTCTAATTTCATGAATCCTGTATTATTATTCTTCCTAATATTTCTGATATGCAGTGTATTATTATGTTGTTGATGCTATGGAACTGTAATCCATGGATATTATTATTACTATTATTGATTCGATGTCATTTAAACAGCAACATTAATGTTGTTAATCACACTAATTCATTCACTGTTGTATATATATGAAGTTATCGAAAGGAATATTCTTTTTTTGGTACAAGTATGGAATTTTCAGCATGGATATCGGTAGCCCAAATTTTGCAGGCCGACCATAGATATCAGATGTACTTCGTCGGCAGGGGGATCGAACCTCGGACCATGTGAATGGTCGGCGAGAGTCCTAGCCACTGTGCCACCGACTCAGTAACCATTCTTTTCAAAATAGAATTTGTCGACCGGTTGTATCATCACGGTATAACAGCCCTATCATTTTCAATCACTTAGTTTTAGCTCTTTCTAACTTCTCCCTTTTTACGAACTCTTACGTAATATCACATTTCCTTTGTCCCTTATATGCACCCTGATTACAGCTTACTCATTAAACTCTATAGTCCGTATATTCAATTTCTTTTATGTATTGATTAATATTGACAATTATGCCTTAGTGGCAATTCATTTCTTTTGTGAAGAAAGTTTTACATAAATACAGCCGAGAATAGCTTAAGAACTAAATGGAAATCGTCAAAAAGAGCCTCCACGCCTAACTTTTTTTATATATTTTTTTTTGTTTTATTTCCTTTACGTTCCCAGTGAAACCATAGGGATTCAAGCTAGAGGCTTTGAATTTCTGTAGCAGTGGTGATTATTTTTACAGGATGGGATTTCTAGCCAGCCTCATACCCAACCTTCCCTCTTTACCGGTCTTACTACTGGCTTAGCGAGGTAAATGAGTGCATCAGCCATGGATTGAACCCCGAACCACCTGAGGCGTGGTCGGTGAATATTCTACCTCTGTGCCGCTGACGCACACGAAGCTTAACTACTTGTTGTCTTTCATGAATACTTCCTATCAAAATTTCTTTTTTCTTTCCTTGTTATTTTAGATGGAAACTATTTGGCGCTTGGTTCACGTGACAATGTGATCTATGTGTACAGTGTACTAGAACGTGGTTATAAGTATAATCGTGTTGGACGATGTCGTGGGCATACAAGTTTTGTTCTACACATTGATTGGTCTGTAGATAGTCGATATCTACGTTCAGTATCTGGCGATTATGAAATATTGTTTTGGACGGCATTCGATTGTAGACAAGTAAGGTTATAATTCTAGTAATAATAATAATAATAGTATAAAGTTGTGTAGTATTTTCAGTTAGTTCAGTTAAGTGATATAGTGAAAAATTGTAATTAATAGTGTTCCCTGATCTGGTTGGTTTAGTTGCGGAGATTTCGTCATCCTTCTGGACAACATCTTCAGCGCAATATATAGGATAAAGTGAACTGATTTAAATTTTTCATGAGTGATATAATTGCATCTCCCGGTAACCATCTTTACATATGTTTTGACCATTTTCTATTGACTTGGAGTTTAAACTTTCTGGCGACATGATTTACTTTTTATTAGTTGGTATATTTCATGTGTATTAACGTGTTTGTTAATTGCATATTCGTTTGAGTACCAGGCTTCTAGGAATTCCCTGACTACACTTTTGGTGTTTCCTTTGTCTAAGATTTTGACATTATCCCAACCGTCAAAATGATGTCCATAATTGTCTATATGCATTGATATGAAACAGGAATATATATCGTGTCTTTACACGGCTGATTTGTCTTCCTGGATTCTGATTCGAAGGGGACGCCCACTTCGACCACCGATGTAATTAATGTCTGTGACAGTTCATAAATGCAATTTATTTTGTAAATGATACTATTAATTTTATCTCCTTTTTCTGTTGGATCTTTCGGTTTGAAGAATATCGAATTAAGTGATTTGACTGGCTTGTGTGCTATATCTTTATCAATCGGTTTCAGTATTCTAGGTGTTATTTCAGAGATATTTTTGCTTATATATGGTAGAATGAATTTTCTTGTGGTCTTTGATGATAGTTCCTTGTTGTTGTTGTTGTCATGCGATTTTAAACACTTTTTGATGAAATTTTGTGGATAACCATTCTTCTTGAAGACCGTTTGTAGGTATTGTTCTACCATTCTTTTCAACTCTGGAGTGCTACAGTGTGTTTGAACTCTTTTAAACAATGTCTGCACACAGTTTCTTTTGTGAATGAGTAATTGGATTATTGCCAGTATAGTTGAGTATTTGATCTGTGTGCGTTGATTTTCTATTTACTTGTGTTGGTTCTCCTGATTGAGATTTCTAAAGATGGAATTTTGTTATCTAATTCTTCTTCTCTTGTGGTGAATTTGATGTTTTCAAATATGTTGTTTATATCACTCATGAAAAATTTAAATCATTTCACTTTATGCTAAAAATTGCGCTGAATATGTTGTCCAGAAGGACGACGAAAGCTCCACAACTAAACCAACCAGGTCAGAGAACACTATTCATTGTAAATCATCCACCTGAGCTATAAATCTTCTCTATTATTTCGAAAAAAAATTGTGTCTTAGTGACAGAGATGTATTCACTCTTTGAAATTAATCTTATAGACCTATTAAATCTTCACGGTGTTTCCGTGTTACTATTCTTTCTCATGGATCTGTCTGTCTGTCTGTTTTCGACATAGAACTTTGCACAAATGTGCGGAAGTTCAAGTCGCCACACTCCGTGTAGCACGCGAAGCAAGAGAAGAAAGTACAAGAAAAGCATAATAGAGACAGTGAGCAGAGGTGTGAGACAAAGGAGTAATAAAGAAAAACAAAACAGTTTCATTGGTGGAGATCATATGTCACAAGGAGTGGATGCATCTGCACTAGCCACTGAGAACGATTTTGAGCCATGTCACCAACTGTTTCCAACCATTGATTTTTACCGTCTCGAGGACCTCAGCCTGGAAGTCTACACCTTCCTACGTGGCTTAGACCAACTGTTGTGGATTTCATTGACTGGTTCCAAGTTTTTGTTTGACCGCCACTAGCTTTTTTCCAGCCTGACCCTATATCCGCTAACATTGCTCGTCGAGGGAGGCGATGGCTTGGCATACGTAACACATGTCCTAACCATCTCAGTCTTTGTAGCTTCACGACTTCGTCGATTGATTTCCCCTGTTTACCTAGAACTCGACCGATGCCTAACTGCAATGTTGCTCACCTTATTATGCCACTTTACACGGGAAATAGAACGCAGGAACCTATGATCAAAGACAGCTAGTCTTTTCGTGGATATTTCAGGTCGCCCTAGTTCCTTCGAATATCTTTTCTCTACCTTTTTATTATTATTTATTATTGTTTCCTTTAGTTCCTAGAGGAACATAGAGCTACAGCCGCACGTCTTCACTGCGTTCATTTCTCTGCCAACGTTTTCACCTGGCTCCACGTCTGACCACATGCTCTCGTCTCCCCTCGTATGACTTTCTCCATGTCATACTCGCACTGACAACCAACTCGCCACCTCTCATTCGGATTTCCCTTGAGTGGTGGCCTCGCATATGATATCGTTCACTTGATGGTTTGTCTTCTCAGAGTATGGACAATCCGCTCCACCTTCATTTCTTCCTGCATATTTGTTGCACATTTGGTTCCCGCTGGGTTGTTTGGCTCATTGCCAGAGATCCTTCACTATTGCTGATCTTTTCTGACCGGCCATCTGATCTTGAGAAAAGTATTGAGCGAAAACAGGCGTTGATAAAGGTGTGTAGTTTATTTGAAGTGGCCTTCGTGAGGCAGCGCAGCGTTAAGTCTCTGATCCATAAAGTAGAACTGACTTCATATTAGGGTTGAAAATCCGGAACTTATTCTCATTTTCATGCTGAGTGCTGTTGATATATCTCCACACAGAATTGATGAGAGAAATGAAAGCTTGTCTTGTTTTCCCGATCCTCGCTTTCATATCCTCATCAGTCCCGTCAGCTTGTAGTTGAAACAACAATGCTTCCCAGGGATCTGGTAAAGGAGGTTGCTTCTTCCACATATCTCCTATTTATGCTGGCTGATTGTTGTCTGTTGTTGTTGTTGTTGTTGCTGTCGCTGTTGCTGTTAGTCAGGAATCTTCATCACCACATCTGTTTTCTCTATGTTCACCTGAAAGAAGTCCTATCTTCACTGGATGCTTCTTCTGCCAACTTGTTGCTTTTCACTTGCATATCTTCCAGTTTATGGGAAATCAGACCTATATCATTAGTGAAGTCCAGGTCCTCCAAGTATTTTGTGTGAGTCCATTTAATGCCTGTCTCCTCGCTGCCCGCCGCCGTCTGTCGCATTATCCAATCTACCGCAATCATCAGGAAAATCATTGGAGATAGTAGGCAGCCAGCTTGTCTTACTCTCGTCTTCACTTCTTCGAAGGATTTCGTGAGTTTCCCGTTGTGCATTACTTGGCGGTATGTAGCATTATCGTACAACTGTTGGATGAGGTGTATAGTTGTTGGAGGCACCCCTTAGTAGCGTGTGTGGTGTTGAATCCATAAACAAAATTTCAGTGATTAACCTCTCTCTATCTCTCTCCGCCTAACTCTATTACTTTTTAATACTCTCATTCTGTCTCGCCCGACGTATTGTATAGATGACATGCAAGTGAATTCAATGCAGTGCATTGACTGAGCTTTTTACCAGGTTATTTAGCTTAGCAGGGTCAATTATTCTAGGTGTGGTTAGAAGAATAATCCAGTTGACCGTGATCTACTAGTTTGACCGACCTATCTAATTGGACCTCACTAACAGTCAGCATTACATGGTATTCGGCAAATTATTAAATTATTTTTCTTAACTGGATCTATTGGGTCCTTAAGTCGAAAAAGTTTATCTCTGAGTGTTTATCAGTTGATTTAAATGACACCCTAGCTAATTCCAGCTTCTCTTGAGAATCTCACTACGTGTAAGGCCTCTGACAACGTTCCTGCTTTATACGACAGTAATATACTGAGGCTTTGAATTCTACACTACTTTCTTCGTAATTTCCATCATTAATTTTATTGCTAGTCTTAATTTCTCCATGGTTCCCCACAACCAAGCGAATGAATGAATTCGCTGCCGAAAAGAGACTCTTCGCTGAATGAACTACATGTTTTATTTTCATCTGAATTTATATATACAGCGTCGATCGAGAGGTCATTTGGCAACTACTTCGCTACTACGGGGTCCCATCGACAATTATACATCTCATCCAACAGCTATACAACAATGCTGCATGCCAAGTAATCCACAGCAGGAAACTTACGGAAGCCTTCGAAGTGAGGACGGGAGTGAATCAAGGCTGTCTACTATCACCAATGATCTTCCTGATTGCAATCCATTGGATAATGCGACAGACAACGGCAACAAAAGAGGGAACAGGCATAAAATGGACTGACTCAAAAGACTTGTAGGATCTGAATTTCGCCGATGATATATGTCTGATTTCCCACAAACTGGAAGATATGCAAGTGAAAAGCAACAAGTTGGCAGAAGAAGCATCCAGTGAAGATAGGACTTCTTTCAGGTGAACATAGAGAAAACAGATGTGGTGATGAAGATTCCTAGCCAACAACAGACAACAATCAGCATAAGTGGGAAGAACCTGAAAGAAACAACCTCCTTCACCTACCTGGGAAGCATCGTCTCAACTACAGGCGGAACTGACGAGGATATCAAAGCCAGAATCGGAAAAGCAAGACAAGCTTTCATTACTCTCAAATCTGTGTGGAGGTCAACAGCACTCAGAATCAAAAATAAGGTCCGGATTTTCAACTCCAATGTAAAATCAGTGCTTCTATACGGATCAGAGACTTGGCGAGTCATAAGAAGCATCTCAAACAAACTTCAGACCTTCATCAACAGTTGTCTTCGCTCAATACTGAAGATGAGATGGCCTGCCAGAAAAGATCAGCAATAGGGATCTCTGGCAAAGAGCAAACCAACCAGAAACTGATTTTGAAACAAATAGGCAGGAAGAAATGGAGATGGTTTGGCCATAGTCTGAGGAATCCATCAAGTGACATCAATAGGCAAGCCCTCGAGTGGAACTCGGTTGGGAAGCGCCGAGTTGGTCGTCAGTGTGAGGGTGACTTGGAGGAGGTCATGCGAGGAGGAGATGAAAGCATGTGGACAGACCTGGAGCAGGGTGAAAAAGTTGTCAGAAGACAGAAGGCAATGGAGGTGCGCAGCTGAAGCCCTATGTTCTTCTAGGAACTAAAGGACACAATAATAATAATAATAATA